CATACGTACATGACGTACCTAAAATGAAATATTAACACCATGAAAACAGTACCCATTTAAAACTGGAGAAAATTAGCTGGGCATGGTGGCATACACCTATAATCACAGTTCTCTGTCTGGGAAGCTGATGAGGAGGATCACAAATTCTAGTCTAGCCCACACAACTTGGCAACTTAGCCACTTAGGGAGACCCTATCTCAAAAAATTTAAAGAGGACAGATATCCCTGAGGATGCAGCTCAGTGCAAAGACCCTGGGTTCATGTCTCAGTAATGAAAAAAGAACAAAGAAAATTAATTCAACTTTTCACAAATCTACATTACAAACAGCCATGCTAATACAAAGAAGAGAAAAAGAATTTTTCATGAATAGGTCATTATCTTATTGAATCCTACAACCTGTTCTATTAAAATACCTTTCTTCAATTTCTTGCTCTTTTAAAAACTGTATTTTTGGCCGGGCGTGGTGGCACACGCCTGTAATCCCAGCACTTGGGAGGCTGAGGCAGGAGGAACGCTGTGAGTTCGAGACCAGCCTGGGCTACATAGTGAGTTCTAGGTCAGTCTCAACTACATAGTGGGACCCTGTCTCAAAAAAACAAAACAAATTGTATTTTTGTTTTGCAGCAGTACTGGATAAACCCATTCTGAGCTACATATCCAGCCCGTTTTTATTTTGCAACAGGGTGTCCCTACGTTGCTAAACTGACCAGACTGGGCTCCAACTCTGGATCCTCCTGCCTCAGCCTCCCAGAGTACGGGGATTACAGATATGCACCAATATGCTGGGCTTGCCATAATCATTTTTAGTTTCCAATTGCAAATTCCAATTGGGTAGTCTGTGAAATAGCTTCTGAATTTTCAAGATACAGATACATATATAGGCCCCCCAACTGACATAGTTATATAAACTCACTCACTATCTATCTATCTATCTATCTATCTATCTATCTATCTATCTCCCAATACGAGAAATGAATACAACCATGGTAGTGCACACCTGTAATCCGAGCATTCAAGAAGCTGAAGCAGGAAGAATGTGCTTACTTTGCGGCCAGTCTACAACTACACAGCCAAGTCTATGTCTCAACAAAACAAAACAAAACAAAAATACCAAAACAAAGGAATACAACAAATGTTTGCTTCCTTTTTTGGAGAAGGAGGAGGATTGGTGATACTGGGGATTAAACTAGAGGCCTTCACACTGAACTACATAACCAGCCCCCTTTTAAAACTTTTTTATAAACTTTGAGACAAGTTTAGCTAAGTGCTAAACTGCCCAGTCTGGACTTGAAACTGTAATTCCCCTGCTTACTCCTAATGCACTAGGATTACAGATGTGCACCACCATGCCCAGCTGTCTGCCTCCTTTCCAAATCAGAAAATACCTTTATCCAAAAACATCAGATGATACCAATTTTTTTTTTTTTTTTTTTGGTAACAGGTATTTAACTCAGGACCTTGAACTTGCGAGGTAGGCACAGTGCCACTGAGCTAAATCCCAGGCCCTTATTTCAAGAAATAAGACCATGAAGACTCTATAAAGACTCTAAAAAAAGAATAATTCTTGTGCTATACCCATATCAAACTTAATTCAGAATCGTGTCCCAACATTGTAGAAGTTCATGAAGAAAAGATAAAATAGGGCCAGGTTCTTGGTATATGTACAAAGCCCTGGGTTCAATGCCCAGTACAGCAAAAATAAATTAAGAAATTTTTTAAATGATCCTAAATTTCTTCTGTCAGTGTCTTCAAATACTATGATGAAATCGTTCACTTTAAAGTCATACCAACATCTCCACCCTTAAATAAAACTAGGGCAGGCAAGGGGCAAACAAGACCTGAATATATTGGTTCCATTTCATTACAGCTTAAATTACTGAAATTATATGTGTAATTCCTGTGATTGCGCTTATGGTCACTTTCTAATGTGGGGTCTATCTTTCATCAGAGTCTCAGAAGATAAGGGACACCCCACACACACACCAAAAAAAAAACCAAGAATCACTACTCTAACATATCAAGAAACACTGCATTTTCCAGAGGACTACAGTTATGGTGACTTAGTTGAAGCATTCTTCCTTCATATTCATAGATGGGATCTTTACTACAAAATTAATCTTTTGCTGGGAGTAGTACAGCACTCAGGCCTGAAATCCTAGCAGTTGGAACCCTGAGGTAGAAGGGTCTCCGTGAGTTCCAGGCAAGCCTGGGCTCCATACATAGTTCAAAGGCCAGCCTGAACTACATAATGAGACCCTGTCTGAAACACACACACACACACACACACACACATGCACCCTGACAAAAAGAAAAAATTAGTCTTTCAAAGAATTCCTTACTTCAGTCCAGTGAAGAAGTTCCAATATCCAGAGACACATAAATCAACAATGACAAGATCTCCCTAAACAGGTTATGCATAAATGCCAAAAGAAAATATCAAAGAAGGCACATACTACCACAAACTGACCACCTTGTTAGATTTTTTTTTTTTAATTTGGTTTTTTGAGACAGGGTCTTGCTATGCAGTTCAGGCTGGCCTTAATCTCACTATGTAGCCCAGCCTGACCTCAAACACTTGGTGATCCTCCTGCCTCAACTCCCCAGTGCTGCAGTTATAGGTATGCTCTACTACACCCAGCTTAGATTCTTAAATACTCATGTAACCTTACATATTAAATTTTCTGAAACACCTAAATTTCCTCCAAACTAAGCAGAATTTTTCAGGGGGAGAGAAGGTACCAGAGATTTAACCCAGGGCCTAGACTATATCCCCAGTCTTTTTTTTTTTTTTTTTTCCTCTTTAATATCAAAACAAGTTTTCAGTTGGGTGTGGTGGTGCAGGCCCGCAATCCCAGCACTAAGGAGGTAGAGACAGGGAGATCACCTGGAGTTCTAGGCCTGCCTGAATTACAGTGAGACCCTGTCTCAAAAAAAAAAAAAAAAAAAGTCTCAAGGAAGGTGTGGTAACACTTGCCTGTAATCTTGGCACGTGGGAGGCTGAGGCAGGAGAATCACCTTGAGTTCAAGGCCAGCCTCAACTATAGAGAGATTCCATCACAAAAAAACAAGGAGGACGATAAGGTTTCACTAAATTGCCTAGGATAAGCTCAAACGTGACAATCTTCTGTCTCTGTTAAATGCTTTTACAGGTTTTCTGATTTCAATTCCACACTGAGTTGCCTGCTTATTCAACTTAATACATATGACTGTCACGGCAACTCCCCTTACATGTGCACCCAGACTATTTCAACAATGGTATATTTATTATTCTAACTGCGAGGAAGGGACCATTTCTTGAATAGAAAATTCAATAAATATAACTTACTAAGTGAATAAAAGAGGACATTTCCTTCCAAAGATTTAAACTGTCCATCTGGAAGTACAGCTCCATGGTTCGTTCATGCTTGGCAGGTATGAGGCCCTGAGTTCAATCTTTTTTTTTTCTTTCTTGGTTCCAGGATCGAACTCGGGACCTTGCACTTGTGAGGCAGACAACCACTGAGCTAAATCCCCAGCCCAAGTTCAATCTTATACCAAAGTATAAAAAAATAAAATTAAATGTCAGCACCCGTGCAGCTGCTCTGCTACAAGCTGTGAAAGCCTTTCCTCCTTCAAACACATTAAGCTAATGCGTGAGATATACTTTGCTTCAGCTGGAGCTAATACCATATGCTTGTTATCCCAGACATGGATTTAGGAGGCTGAGGCAGGAAGATCACAAGTTCAAGCCTACTCAGTCTATAAGGCTGGGGAGTTAGCTCAGTGGTTCCGCCGCCTGCTTTGCAAGCACAGGTCCTGAGTTCGATCCGCGGTAGCAAAGAAAAAAAAGGGTATTCAGCATAACTCAGTGACTTAACAATACTGTCAATCAGTCAATCAATCAATTGGCTGGGGATGTAACTCACAGCAAAGACTGGTTTCAATCCCAGAACAGCAAGGGGTTGGGGGAAGAGCTTCCTCCACAAACACAAAATAAAGTCAAGGATTATCTATTTCATATAGGTCACAAAAACAAGGCCAACGCATACGCCATATAGATATTTACCACTATTTGCGGGGGGGGGGTTGAGACAGGGTCTCACTATGTAGTTGAGACTGACCTGGAACTCACTTATGTAGCCCAGGCTAGTCTCGAACTCACAGCGATTCTCCTGCCTCAGCTTTCTGAGTGCTGCTGGGATTACAGGTATGCGCCACCACGCCCGACCAGATATTTACCACTACTGATCTCTGCCAAATATAATCCAACAAGTCATTTCTGCCCATCTTTTCAATATATACATATTTTTGCCAATAAAGGTCTCTTGGGACATTAAAATATGATGAATGTATTTCTGGATAATACTTGAGGTATACTTAAAATATCTGTACTACAATCTCAGCACTGTCACCAATTTAACATCTGATCTGGGAAAAGCTCTCTTTATGCCTCAATTTCCTATTTCACAAAATGGGAGAAAATATATACCCTACTATTTTCCGAGATTTAGAACCATAAAAAAACACAACAGTATTCTAAATATAAAAGCCCTATGTAAAATGTTACTACAAATCCACATCAGCAACAACAAAAAAAAGGTTACCCATTCTTTATAGCAATTACTCTGAAAAGATGTTGTGGACCTTCACATTTATATAATTCATTCTATATTCAAAAGCACAAATTATTTCTAAGACCTCTCCCCCTCCAAGTACACATAGACATACACACCATACTGTCTAGAATAATGCCTTTACTGCTTTCTCGGCAAATAATTAGGCGTTCCCAATCCCTAAAATACACGCATGTATCAACCTGCAAGAAACATCCCAAAATCTATTTGAAAAATAAACTAATTTATAAGAAGAACTCCATTACACTTAGACAAATACAGGGAAACTCTTCCGGAAGACTTTCTATCCTTGCATAAACACACAAGCACAGTCGCTACACACCAACCGACCATCTGTCTTCCAGACCACAAACATCTCTTTCCATGCACAAGCCAACCCGTGACACTGATCAAACTTCTGTCGTTCCTGCACACCGTTCAGCGCGTCAGGGGCCCCAGAACCCGTCGCACAGGTGAGCTGGCCTCGGAAGACCGTCTCCCTCCGGCTGGACGG